GGCCCGGCGGGCGGCGGGTCCCCAGCCGATGGGCGTGTGGGGCTAGTGATGGGGGCAGGGCTAGGGCCCCTGCCCCACACACCTAGGAGCCGGGCCTGCTGCAGCCACTTCTGGGGCGCAGCACAGTCTGCAGTACCAGTACAGGCAGAAAGCTGCCTTAGCCCCTCCACTGCTCTCCTGATCCCCCTGCAGCAACGAGACCCAGGGCCGATGGGGGCAGGGCTAGGGCCCCTGCCCCACACACCTAGGAGCCGGGCCTGCTGCAGCCACTTCTGGGGCGCAGCACAGTCTGCAGTACCAGTACAGGCAGAAAGCTGCCTTAGCCCCTCCACTGCTCTCCTGATCCCCCTGCAGCAACGAGACCCAGGGCCCGACATTCCACGGCCCAGAACGGGGGCCGAGACACTTTTCTGGCCCCATGGCTGCAGTATCAGAGCCCCTGCCACCCCCTGGGAGGCCACGCAGGGCTAAGGCCACAAGCAATTCAGGGCACTTTTTATCTATCCCCAGCTGGCAGCTGCCTTCCAACCCGCAGGCTCTTGCGATCACCTTCCCCCGAGTCCACGGAGCGGCTCCCCTTTCATTCGTCCGTGGCTAGGGCAAAGGGCGGGAGGGCATTAGCCCTTCCTTCTGTGTCTACGAGGCACTCGAGAGTTAAAACGGAGCCACATTTCACAAGGGAGAGGAAACGTGCACAGGATCGGGAAACGGGAAAGGGCTGGGTCGGCCGGTTGCCCGGAAGCAGCGCAGATGGCCAGACGCTCCTCGCCCTAGGATCGTCTGGTAGGTGGCTGGGCTGCGAGGCTGGGGGCTGGGAGATCCCAGCTGCGCAATGGGGCCGCTTGATTTTTCTCCCGTGGCTTTTCCCAGCCCAGAGATAGGATCCTGCGGCTTCCCGTGGCTGTAACCGCCCGCCCCAGGGATCCGATCCTCACACGTGGCTCCTCTCGTGCGGAAGGAACAGGGATGGAGAAGGCAAGTGGTTTCCCCCAAGGGTGCCAGGACGAGGGAGCCATGGGTTAGTGGCGGGGTTATAAGCAGCGTTCCCTGTAAGCTGAGTGCTTGGGCGACCACCCAGGAGAGTCAGGTGCCGGTCAGCTGATTAGCAGAGTGCCCACAGCCAGGTTTGTGTTTCTGCTGGTGGTGCACCTCCCCACCATGCCTCGGTGCACAGAACAAAATTTATTCTGCACATGGGTGGAAAAAATTAGAGAGAACACTGGTTGTGAGTCTGGCTTGGCTTTGCAACTGCTGTCACATGGTGCACTTCAGCCTCCCGCCATGAGCTACCTGGTGGGGGCCGGGTTTAGACCGGCTGTGGTTCACTCTGCAGTGGAGAAGGCCGGGGCACCTCCCCCAAACCTGTCTCCCTGCTCCAGGAGCCTCTGGGTACAGACCAGTCCCTGATGGTGATGCAGCCAGGCCCCTGGGGGAGCATCCACATTTAGGTGCAGAGCACAGGGTGCAAACACATTA